TACTTTCTTTTTCATCTATGTCTGCTCTATATATAACCGAGGCCCCGTATGCTACAGGCTGTGCACGTTAAAGATCCCTCGACAATTGGAAATCGGAAAAAGAGCAGGCTAATGCCGCTGTCATGGCAAAATTTCCCTCATTGCACTCTGCATGGCCTTGCCCATCTTCATTAGCCCACATGGTGCAGAAAAGTAGGACGTAAAACTCAGAGTATTTGGAGACTAAACTTATCATAAATTTAAGAAAATAAAGAGTCATGGTTTCAGAAGGCAGAATACACCAACCAGTTGCTTCAATGTATTAAGCCAATTTATGACATGAAGACATAGAAATGAAATTTATCTGCTATAGAAGTCAACAGTCAGGCTAGTTATCAGGATTCCTATGGTGTGAGGTAATTGTCAACATCTCAACATCTCAAACTTAATCAGTGAAGTGATGTAGTGGAATTATCCTTTAATCTCCTCAAGATCTACTCTTATTAACATCTTATATTGGCAGGTCATTCCATTTTAATAGGTTTCCCTCATTGTACACTGCCTTATCCAGAACAACCAGCAGGTCATTTTATTTCAACTACACAATGGTATAGTAAAATTTCCCTCTTAAATTGGCAGGTCCGATTTTGTTTTCAAATTCGGATCGTTAGTACTTAGTTTATTTATTCATCAGCTGCTACCAATGTTTTGCCAATATGTTGTTTTTGATTTTGAATTCGTATCCCAGTTTAGATTGTTAGTACTTGGTTCGTTTATTAAACACTGGTTAACATATTTTTTCAGTTTACATTCAGTTAATAAAAAACCAACAAAATTACAAAATGACCCTAGGACATGGAGTTAATTACAATTCTTCAGTCTTCCATGAACAAACAATTTCATCTGAACATAATTAACAGTTTTTAAAACCAGATTCTTCAATTAAACTTGGAGCAGTTTAACTGTTTAATGGTTTTCCTGGTTTACTTTTCCCTGTTTGATACAAACGTTTCCCTGTTTGACACAAACTTTTCCCTGACCCTTTACCCTGTTGGACTTTAACATTTCCCTGTTTTATCAGGAGGAGGAGAAAGGAGCATTAAATGAAATGGGTAGGTTAAGATGGGTTGAACCATATCCCAAATACAGGTATTGACATTGAAGTATGACATATGAGGGCGTGGTTTGGACATGATGAGATCCAACCTAGATCTGGTCCCGTGTGAGTAGGTCTATGGCAGTATCTTGTAAAATGGGGATAGCCAAAAAGGTGTAAATCATTTATATTCCAGTCATAATGAAGATATGAAGAATTAACTGTTGTCTTAATTATACAATAGACACTACAAGAGTTCCCTCCCATATACATATCTTTAAAACAATAAAATACAATAGAAAGTATAAGCAGGATGAAAAGATTTAATTATTGTCTTAAATATGCTACAGAAAGTACAAGAGTTCTATCCCATATACAGATATCATAATTCTATTGGGAAGGAGTTATTTGTTGTCTGAAGTATAGGTTTATTTACTGGAGTTATGTCCCATATATTACATGACCATGTACAATGATGTTAACCCATGCCCAACCATCTTGCTGGCACCACTGTGAATATTTAGACCTCATTTTAAGATGGGGAGACTAATGCTTATCTTAAAAACATTTTTGAAAAAGGGCTAAGTCTAGGTGACCCAAACTCTGCCACACCTGATTAGATGCCCCCATTTATTAGATAAGGGTAAGCACATGGGGGACTTTCGTTTATTATTAAATGGGGAGTCCAAGACATTCCCAGACCACTCCAGCTGTGGTGCATCTGATGAGAGACATACCAGCACTGATGGGAGAATCACAGTCATGCAGGACCATTAGACACTTTTTAACCCCAAGTAACAACAAATTCACTGTTATTTTCCATTTTAATTCAAAATTTTCTACTTTCTTAATGTTTTTAATTCTTTAATATTGATGAAAATAACAAAACAAACACTGATATCTTTGAAATGAAGTCAAACCTGAATTACCCGGCAAACCGGGATGCTTAGCCTAGACGGGCTGGTCTGTCACATATAACCAGGTCCTTATAAATCAAAAGCATCAATAAAAGACACAAAAGAAGATCAAGGATTAAAACTCCACCCGTCTGCCATGTGTGTCTTATATGTCTAAGATTATGTTTGTATTGTTATCAAGGTCACAATTTTTGAAATCTTCACTGTTTAAAACTGAGGAAGTAAAATTTCACCCCTCCTCTACATCATCTTCATCTATTTTATCTTCTGATTCTTCCACCATTAATTCTTTTCCTTTTTTATCAGACGCTGCTGAGGCTGAAATTACAAATAACACAAAGTCTTAAATCCAAACTTACTAACTTTCTCCACACAAAATAAAATGTTTGAAGTTTAACATCTAATATTCATCGAATTGTAACATTTGTGAGAACTTTTAACATCCCATGGAATGGAGATCTACATACTAATTTTCATTTAATAAATCAAAATAATTTTACTTAAACATTTCACCTAAAGAACTAAAGAGTTTGGACCCTTTGAATGGATTTAGAAATGGAATTTTATGGGCTCATGGTCCAAGAGATGCTGGAGGGACTATGAAATACAGACAGAGGCAGCACCAGCCTCGCAAGACTATGACCTGTGTTGCAAGAAAATTTCTGAAAATTGAATTTTACAGTACATTCTGACACATTTTTGGAGCAAAAGACATATAAAAATTATATTATTAACATTGTTAAAAGGAAAGAGAGGGTACAATTAAGGGCCCCCCACCCCCTGTACCCTCACTTGCGCCAACATTGAATTCAGGAGTACCTTTGACAGTAATTTTGGTAGGAACGAGAGGATCTGGTCTCTCGTCAAACACCTGCCATTTTCCATTATTCGACCACATTCCTTCAATTGTTACGTGAAAATCAACCATCATGTGACCAAATAATTTCTGAAATTTTAATAATAATAATTAAAAAACATAAAAATACTAATCTGTTAACAAAGTGCAGTCTTACGTCAAATTATTAAGTTTTATATATACTGACAAAGTGAGAAATTCATACAATGATGTGCCTCTGTATAAATAGACAAGGTGCCCTTGCGATTAGGAGGCACGAAGGGGCGACAAACCACAGTGATTACTAGTTGTGTATGGTTGTGAATAATGAAAGTGGTTATGATTACTAAACACTACTCACGACACAGTTACATGAGAGTTGCGTTCTAAACTTATAACCACTATTCTTATATATAACTATACACGACTGGTGATTGCTATGGTATTAGGGCAACATACACGACTAGTGATTGCTATAGTATTAGGGCAACATACACAACTGGTGATTACTATGGTATTAGGGCAACATACACGACTGGTGATTGCTATGGTATTAGGGCAACATACACGACTGGTGATTGCTATGGTATTAGGGCAACATACACGACTGGTGACTATGGTATTAGGGCAACATACACGACTGGTGATTGCTATGGTATTAGGGCAACATACACGACTGGTGATTGCTATGGTGTGAGGGCCCCTTTAGCTTTATTCTAAAGAATAATCATCCTACACCTACGTTTTATCGCCCTATCCATAAATCAAAAATCAAAGTTGGATGACATTAACACAATCATCAATGGCATGCAAAGATTCAACAACTTTTTAAACGACCAAGATGAGTTACCCACCTGTCTAAGGTTCATGGTGCCAACCATAAAACCTTTAAAATGTATTCATTCATTCATTCTTTTTCAAGTTTCGTTGAACAATCATGAACTTGCATATCGTAGATTATTTTCTTCAAGCAAGCGTTTAATTCATGTTTGGAGAAATGAAAGCGCAATGAAAAATATTCAATTTAACATCATTATCTTCAATATCGATATTCATTCTGATTTTTTAGTCAAGACCATCAGGTGCAGAAAAGTAGGACGTAAAACTCCATTCATTTCATTTTCAGTTCAGAAAAGTTTTAGTTCAAGACAAGACAAGGTTATGTCTCTCAAGCTCTTGGAGGTAACCCTTGTGTAGATGTTTTGTTAAAATGTTCGCTATAAGAATATATCATTACAAATAGTTTGAATTTTAGGTTGTAGCATTGTGGTTAAGTAATGGTACGAAAGGACAGCCACAGGCATGTAGACGGAGAGAATATTATTGTGCAGTAGGTTAGATACTATATAGAAATAGTATTTTGTTTCTAATAGCTGTTAGTAGGTGATATTAATACGAAAGTACGTATAGTTCTAACATAGAAATAACACACACGAACGTACTTCACAGCCATTTTGAATCTCTTCTTCAACTTAATAAATCACATCTTAAGATTAAGAAATGGCTTTGATTGTGATTTGAAGGTTTTGGTGAAATATTAGGCCTTTTAAAAATTTCAACATATTATGTTGAAGAAGAGATTCGAAATGGTTGTGAAGTACATTCGTGTGTCTTATTTCCCTGTACGAACAATCCGTAGTTTCATTAGGTATCTGTGATATTAATACAGAAATAAGATTTGACAAGTAGTGTGCACAGGTTATTCTCAATAGAATATCAACCCACTGTAATCTGTTATACCATATTATTTACAATAATGTATGGTTGAGAGTCCACATAGCTAATTAGTAATATTAAGTAATATAGAGTATAAAATAGAAGAGTGATTAATAATGTTTATTTGGTATTATTTATAACAATTAGTAATATCAATAAAGATATCAAATATAAAATAAAAGACTTACCAATATTCTAGACTGTTCGGGTGTAATTGTCTGACCTGCCTCACATACTGTAAAATCTCTCAATAGAGTTATCACACCTTTTGCAAATAGAAAATATAACATGAAATTCCTAATTGCTCAGATGAAAATTTGCACAGAGGACATCACAAATCACATAGTCTTTGAAATTTCATACAATTGAAGAATCTTCAAACATAACAGCCCTTTTTGCGAATGACTTCACGCTGTTTCCATGATTTATGGATTTATTCATGGATTTAGTTATGACATTAGGTAAGTCCACTGATCCAATCTATACCCTTATTGACCAAGTTTGATCATTTAAATTTCATGTTGAAAGGGGTTTCGTTTTACAGTTCATTAGTGCTTGAGCCAGCTAACTCTCTGAGTAAGTTTTCACAATGTAATATCGGTACTGACCTCTCTGAAGACTAGTAGGAAGACCAAGCTGTCTTAACTGTGGTTCCATGGCATGAGATAAATCTGGAATCGGTCCTTTCTCTAATATCACAGTTTGTGTTGCCTGGTTACCAGATCGTGCAAAATCAGGAACTCGGAATTCATCAAAATACCTGAAATAAATAGAAGGTTTGTTAATTTTAAGATGTATTAATACAATCCATTTCTTTTTAAAACTTGGGAGGCAGCAGTTTCTTACATGGACAAAGCGTCTAGTTGTTCGAGTCGGACAATAAACTAAGGCCCTGTGTGCTTCAGACTGAATGTTCAAGATCCTCGACAGATGGAAATAGTAAAAAAAAGATAGCTAATGCTGTTATTCTTGCACAATTTCCCTTATTACACACTGGCATTGCACGTCTTCATTAGCCCCACTACGTGCTGTAAAATTTGGAGGCAGCAGTGGCTGATATGAAAAAGCATTTAGTTATTCAGGTGGGACAATAAAGCAAAGCAATGCTCGTCTTCATGAGGCCCAATCACATGCTGAAGAGCAGGACTAGAGCGCAATTTCAATAAATTTTATAAAACTCACTTTAAGACATTTTTCTTGGTTTCGTTAGTGAAAAGTAAACCAGTTTGTCCTTTCAACTGCTGAGCTAAAAATCTTAAATTGTCTTTATATTCATCAGATTCTGTTTTCCCTACAGCTACTGCCATCAAACTATTTTTACCAAAGAAAAATCTGAAATAAAAAAAAACATAGATTTACTTTTTCATTATCACTGGTTTTAGTGGTTACATCATCTCTTGTTTCAGATGTTGCAAAATTTATTTCCCTCATTGCACCCTGCAGGACGTTGTCCTTCTTCATAAACCCAATCAGGTGCAGAAAAGTAGGACATAAAAATCCTTCATTTCCTATTGTTTTAGATATCCTTAAAATCTTGCTAACTTTGATAGTTATTTTGACTGTTGCAGTCTGTAACAATGCTTTCCCAAATATTAAAGTTAGCTAGATAAAATGAATGATTCTAAATACCTGCCGTGTTTCCAATCTTGTCGAATCGTTTTCAGTTGAACATTTCTCATATTCTGAACCGAAAATGTGAAAATTCTGGCATATTTATCGACACAATCTCGGACCTAGAAAAATAGAGAAAAGTTAGATTTAAAAAAGTTTCTGATTAGGAAACACTGGACATCACCTAACTCTGGGTTATATTCTAGAGAGGGATCCATTGTTGTATGTTTATAGAAACATCAGACATCACCTTACTCTGGGTTATATTCTAGAGTGTGGTTCACTGTTAAACACAGTCGTTTATCCTCGGGCACCGGCAGAAGGAGGGAATTCTAAGCGTGTTGCACAAGCGCACAAATAGTTCAAAATTTGCTCATCACACCCCCCATCTGTGTTCCCTCCATCAATCTCTACCAATCAAAAACTTTGAGAATATTAAGATACTCACATCTTCAATAATCTTCTGTTTAAATTCCAATCCTTTCTTTCTTGTTTGAGTTAATGAAACTGAAATGAGAGAACAGATTGTATGGATGGCATAATCAAAGAAAATAAGACTGATTGAACAGTTTACCCAAGACAGGTTTCTTCAAAGAAACACAGATCAACTGTCTGAGAAGGCTAAGGCTAAGAGCAAAGAGCAGAGGAGGTAAGCAGAGAGAGAAGGGGGGTGGGGTGGCATCAACAAATCTGATGACTGATCTCGATTGATATGACAGTAGCCAGAGTCTTCAAAGAACGTGAAACTAGAAGATGACAAGGCAAGAGTACCTATATAATCAAAGAAAGGGGCATGTCATCTTAGAAATGGAAGCGCATCTGTGGAAGTGGTTGAAATAAGGGCAGCGGCTGAGTGGCAGACGACACTTCGTCGACAGTCAAAACATATTTTCGATCGTCAGTTTCGAGCACACAAAATGTGCGATCGATAGGTGTTCTCTGCATCTGAGAGCACCATCTAACAAGGAACTCGAAAAACAAACTTAAATGTCCTAAAATTACCTTTCTTCTCTCTTTTTGACTTGGGCATTTTTGTAAACAATTATCAAATTTTGTCTTCCACACGTGCTTCTGCAATTTTGTCAACAGGAAATTTCGTAACGAGGTCAAGTGCATGATGGGAGAATAAATTATCTTTAATTATATTTTTAATGGCGAAACAAAAAGAATCAACGACAGCAACGGACAAGATTTAAACAAAGATTTGCAATCTATGTGATAAAAGGCAAATTTGTGGAAAATAATATTTTTAGCGGTAATGAGTAATGCTGGGAACTCGTATTGTCATGGTGACAGACTGACGTAATGGCTACCCTGTGGTTCGACCAGCACGCCCCTGAAATTTTAGTCCCGAGTTATCCAGTCTATAATTTACGTTGAACTCAATAGAAAATTAATATCTTCGTCTGGATAATGCAGACTAGAATAAATTCGCGCAGGAATTCAAGGAAAGACAACTCTTGACATTCATTGATTGATTCCACGTATATAGTTCCCTCTTATTTCTTTAATTTATTGTTGTTTTCTTCCATCAATCGTCTGCTTAGACATAAGGTAAGAACTTCAACCGTTTTTCTAGCCGAATATTATTATCCGAAAAAGAAGAACGACATACTTCATTAATTCATCATACATTATGTCATTGACAGTCCAAGTTGGGCTCGGTTCCGCCATCTTGAAATTTTTAGGGTCATGGTGAATATTGTCGGTATAATTTTATGA